TAACAGTTTGTATTGAAAAATATGCATTTTGTTCTTTTTGTTGAATGTATTACTGATTTCTGTCAAAAAGTTCTACAAGAGTTTGTGTTAGTAACTACTATCTACCAAGTGGGCTAGATGGGCCACCTGGACTTCTCTTATCTGTAAACTTTCTTAGGTTCTTATATCTTGTGTTCTTTTGTCAGACTCTTACAGAAGAATCATTCTCCAAGGATATTTTTGAAGAAGCCAGCACTCTGGTGAGAGAACTTTTGACTGAAAAGTCAATATCAGTCGATGCAGGATTTTCCTTCAAATTCTCAGGAAGTCCAAAGGAAGAGGGTGCTGCCAGTGACACAGGTGGTGGATTTAAAGGAGGAGTTAATGTTGATTCTAGTGAAAAAATAAAGACCATCAATGAATACTCTACTGTTAAGGTAAGTTGAACAAAAGTAAGATTGATATGTCATACTTTGTAAAATTATTTGTGAGCTGTGTTTGAATGTGAAGAAATTCATATTTTTATTGCACCATTACAAATGTACTGTACATGTATGTACTTTAGAATCAGAACACATCTTAGAAGTTTAGCAAGGCTAGGCCAGGTCAGTACTGGGTTGGGAATCAATTTTAGTATTCACTTTGCAAAAACTGTGTACAATATATGCCATTTGTAATTCAGCAAAACAGGACATCATTGGAAAGGTTTGCATTTTTCTGCAAGGCCCAGAAAAATTGGTCCCACATCTAAATGTTCTAACTGCTTATTCCAATAAATGTCAGAGCCAGAGCCTGTCCTGGCAAACAATTGGTGCAAGGAAGGATACACCCTGGATGGGACACTACTCCATCACAGAAAAAAAATACACGCACACTTACACCTGGGGCAATGTTTTCCCAGAAGACTGTTAACATACCAGTACATCTTTGGACTGTCAGAGGAAACAGGAGAACCAGGCAAAAACCGAAGCATACATACAAACTCCACAGAGTGTTACTGTAAAGTACATTACAGTACATTCGAATTTTACAATAATAATAGGAAAATAAATAGAACAATTACATTTTTGCCTACGTTTTAAGACAGGAACATTTGTTTGAGAGCAAACAAATGGTTTAGAGTATCCATGAGACACAAGTGAACAGATTTTGCTAATCTCTGTTGAATTCTAGACCAAAAGCTTCATGCGGGTGAAGGGAAAAATCCAACTAAGCACTTTCAGAATGCGATCCCGAGACCTTCGTCTGTCTGATACATTTTTGGACGATTTAATAGATTTGCCATTGGAGTACTCAAAGAGCAGATACTTTGATTTTCTTGAAGATTATGGTACCCACTACACTGTTTCTGGGACAGCAGGAGGCAAATATGATCTTGTATATGTGATGGATAAAGAAACCTTAAAGACATCTAGTAAGTCACCCTCCTAAAACACCATTCCAAATGTAACACACTGATTATTGTCTCTCAAACATGGCAGGATATCCTGTGTGAAAAACAACTTAACAAAGTCACAATAAATTAAACTCCTATACATTTTAAGGTTACAAAAAAGATTAGGCTTTTAAGTTCAGTCTCTCTGGAAAATTTGTACATTTTAAAAAAAAGTTTTATGAAAAATGTTTTTTTTTAAATAAAAAACTCAAAGCTGTCCATTTCTTTAAGTAAAAGAATGCTTTAGTGATACCAAAGAGGTCAATTATGTAGACACACATACCTGTGTAGTATGTGCACAGTATATGTACTGTATGTGAATACGCTTATCTCTCAGAAATAGTAATCTTACCAAAATCCTTCTGACACAGTGTGTTCATTTGAAACCAGATAGTGCATAGTATTCTATAGTATATCAATTTCAGGAATGAAGGAGGAAGAAATTAAGAAGTGCCTGGGGTTTGATGCATCCGTGGACTTCAAAACGTCTGGTGTAGATCTGGACCTACATGCAAAACCCAAGTTTTGTAATAATCTGAAAACTGGTTCAACTGGCAAGTATTTCTGATAGCATTAATGTATTTCTTTTTTTTTGTCTAATGTAGCAACAAAATCATTAATAAGGTGCATGCATAACATTTAGGACTTCTGTTTTTTAACAGAAATTCAATATTTTTTAAAATTCAATAATTATGAAACAAAGTTAATTTTCTTGATTGTACTGCTAATTATTTCTACTCTTTTTGTGAAGAAAATATGGCTGACAGGTGACACTCATTCCCAAATTTGTTTGCATTTTATGCTACCAATCATCACATTTACCTCCCATGTGTCTTTGCACATTTGTTTGTTTTCTCCAGGTGTTGTGCATGAGATCTGCTGAAGTATTGTTCTGCATTAAACCTTCATCTTTTTGTAAGCTACACTTGCAGCCTTTTAATACCTCACCAGTTTGTAAAATGACAAACAGAGTGTTGTGTACTTTCCCCCTAAATATGACAGAGACTATTGGAGGTTTCAAAACTTAAAAGCAAAGCTTAATCATCAAATTTGGAAGACAGGATTTGATGATGCACTGCAAATTTTGAATTTTTCTAGTACCAGGGAATTTCATAGAAATATAGAGTATTTCTTAGAATATACAGTATGTTTAGCCCACTTGATTGTCAGCAGCTAATTGATCACAGGATATCATCCAGCTGCTTCATGAAAGAAGCCAGGGTAACAGATTCAACAGCATGGCTGGGTTGGTTGTTTAAAGGCCCAAAAACTTTGTATAAAAAAGTGCCTTATGTTCTTAATTTTAAATACACTTCCTTTGTCCAATTTGTACTTGGAAGACCAAAGGGACAAAGAACACTGAGATGAAAGCTGATTACTTTGAGAAATATGTGCTGAATGCCAGATTCTGAACAAAGTATGAAAAACTGGTCTTAATAGAAGTGTCTGAAGCCCAGGCTTACCCTCTCCAGAAGACATTATACTGTAGATACCCAGGGTATGTCCTTTGCAAGATAGCCACAGTAATCCAGTAGCAATTTTGATATTGACTTAGCTTCATATATGGGTCTCAGTGCTACTTCTAACAAAGTAAGATACATTTTGGCACACAGTCATCTCAAAGCTTTTGATTCTTGCTGCCAATTTCAGCCTTTCATTTTCTCAGCAAAGGTTTTCAAGCAGCTTCACATACTGTACATCCATTGAGGCCATATATAAATATTCATGTCAGATCACAACTATGCAGACATCTCGGCCACACATGGTGATTAAAATCTGAATTGCAGCAGATACTGTATAGTGAAGTTCAGCAAAGTCAAAATGCTTACTGTAAAACTTTTATAATGTCACAGTCTTCCTCTACAGCCTGCCAGCCTTTGATTTTGTCTATTTAATCTGATAACAATGCAACCGTACACGATTTCCTCTTTATTTTCTTGATCATTTTTGAAAATGAGTTCTGCTATCCTAATTGCTATCCTAATTCTTTTAATTAAAAAAGACATAAACTAATATTTCAAGATATAAAAAAACCTCAGACTTACTTTATCTCTACTAATGTAAAAATGTTTCAGAAACACTATCCTACAATTCCGTAGGGTGAGAATGTTTTTTAAAGACTTTTATCTTTTTTTCAGCTACAAACGAAAGCACAGCTCTTCTAGAAAAAGTTATATCTTTTGTCAGTGGAGGGACTCCTGCATCCACTGCAGCTCTCAAGAGACAGATAGAAAAAGAGGGTGTGATGGATGTAAATGCATATGTGGAATGGGCTAGATCTCTTGATGTTGCACCTGTACTGGTAACTAGTAAGGTAAGCTTTGAAACTTTCTTCTGTAGTATTATTAAACACTGTTCTGTCTGGTCAGTCTAGGCAAAACAGTTCAAGGTGTTGACAAGCTTTAATTTAAATTGTGATATTCACTACTTCAGTTAGTTTAGAGTTTATTGAATATTGATTCATCCTCATGAATACTGTAGCAATGTAGGTACTAATACTTCCAGTAACATCAGTGATTAGGTTTTGATCAGGGAGTACTATGAAATCATTATACAATGATTCTACTCATTTCAACATTGTTTTAAACTATTCTTGCAGCAGTTATCTTCAGTGATCTGTGGAGGTCTGACACTTTATTAGAGAGAAATCTTCTTAATCTGATGCCTATCATGATGCTTTCTTGTGGGAAGATAATAAGATAAATTGAGTAAAATCAAAATGTACTCAAAATGAGTTTAGAAGTGCAGAAATTACTTGAGAAAGCCCCACCTTTTAATGTTCTTTATCTTATTAAGGCCAGCCTTAGATGTCTTTTAAACACATTTTCTTTCTGACCAAATAGCAGAAAACATATCTCTTTCCAGGAAAATATTTCAGTTGTAAAAACTATTCTTTTTTATATACGAAATGACTTTACAGTAAATCGTCAGAACTACCACAACATCCATCCCATCATTTAAATTAATTCCATAGAGAGAACCAATTTGGAATCTTTCTGATGTGCTCTGACAAAGGTGTACTCTGTACTGTACAAGTATATATTATTATTCTCATAGTTTCAGAAAATCTCATTTAAAGGAATCATCTTAGATTTTAACAGGTAGAAAATAGATAAGAGTTACCCCTCAAAAAAACAAAAATACAAGTGGCAGGGGTAGTTCGTTGATTCAGAAGGTCTTTGAACTTGCTGGAGATATGTTTTTGTTGTGTTAAAAGCACTAGACTGCCAGTACAGATGATCAGTGGTTTCTCATTTTTTCAATTACTGGATCAACACATGATAAAAAAATCAGATAAATTAATTACTAATGGGAGTACATTTCCTGCATCAAATAAATGTAAAAGATCTTATGTCTCGTAATGTTGTGATACCCAGTTAGAGCCTGTTATATAACCAAGGAATGGGTTCATTACTTTCATGCCTCCTTTATCTGTCAGACTGCTTGTTTGTCGCTGAAAGTGTATACTCTGCAATGCAGTCTGGAGGCACATTTATTTCAGCACATTCTAGTTTCCTTTGAAAAGCTTCCAAATAATATATTTTTATATATTGATCCTGTATTTACAGTTGAGGAAAGCATATACAAAGCTTACAATATATAAGCATAAACAGCATATACCACAAAGATATTATAATCCACAAGGATTATAGGGTAAAATTTGACTATATGTGATTTTGACTTTATGCGCTACTCAAAATCCTAATTATAATTTTATGAGTCAACTGCATATTTCAGGTAACAAGATAAAGATAGGCATGTGACGGACAAACATTACAGATCTTATCATTTTTGCTATTATTTTTTCTAGTATCTATAAAACTGCAAAGACATTTATCTGTTAATCACATCTTCAGAAATAATTATTTCTTAAAATAATATCTGTTCAGTAAAGACCTGTTGTATAGATTAGCGATATTTCATCTTCAAGGTAAATCCAAAGATGCGCATAATATTTAATTACAGTACATTAGATTGACCATTATCTATTAACAGACCATTTTATTTTTGAGGATAGTATGGTCCATGTTGAGAAGCTTTGGTTACATTTAAATTTCATTTTAAAGAACTCAGGACATCACCTTTGTACTAACAAGTACAATCTGTAAAAAAATAGTATTAATTGCTGCAAATAATCATTGCATTTAAAGGAGCAGGACAGGTTAGAGACTTTATCGTGTACAGTATTAAGTAATCACACAATATTACAATAACAATAATAATAATATTAAAATATTATATTGATCAATAAAAGATAGCCATTCTTGTTAATTGATTCAATTCTTACATTACAAAGTGCACTTATACTATTGACCACCCAATAATCTAATTAACTATTCCCAGTTATCTATAGAAATTAATTTATAGAATCTTTTTAAAAATAATGATACTAGACATAAATAATGTATTTCAAACCAAAGACAAGTAAAGAGACAAAAACATGCATTTTTAGCCCTGTTACATTTTGTTGATAAGGCAGTGTATCAGTAAGTGAAATATTCTAAGAAAATTACTAGGCTCCATCAGTAATGGTTTTTGTCCTCGTGTCATGGGATTCATGCCTCATATTTGACCCGTTGCTATTGATTTTAATTCTTTAGAGTAAGTGGGTGCTGTTGAAGTAAAAGCCTCATATAATACATTGATAACTGTGTCATTCTGTCATCTCTCCGCAGCCAGAAGCAATTTATAATTTGGTTCCTCTGACGATGACCGATGCCAACAAAAAGAAAGCAAATTTGGAGGCAGCCATCAATGACTATATTGAGGAGTACAATGTGTGCAAATGCAAGCCATGCCAAAATGGAGGCACAGTAACTTTAATAGATGGAGACTGTCTATGTTTGTGTCTACCCAAGTTTGAGGGAATTGCTTACCAGAACAGAAAGAGTGAGGCTATAGATTGTAAGTTGATTTCTGGAAGAAAATCAAGTATGTGGTTTTTACCTGGTGGCTTTGTGCCTGTCAGGTGCAGAATATAGAATAGAAATGGGTGTGTTAATAAGAAACTTTTATTTTTCACAGCGGGTACAGTTGTCCAGGAAGGGAACTGGGCGTGTTGGTCCTCCTGGTCTGCTTGTGCAGGTGGTCATCGCACCCGATCTCGCATTTGCAATACTGAAGGTCTCTCAAAAGGGTCCTGCAAAGGGGAGCAGGTCAAAACTGACTATTGCTAGTGTCGAACTTAAAACCGTAAGTACAATAAGCTCTAGGGCCTATTATTCTGATCTATTTTTCAAATACTGTATGTGTGTGGAGTTTCCTCTCTGGAAAAAAATGTATATTGAGACATAAGGATAGAAGTTGCTTTAGGACTAGTTTTGTATAATTTTCACTTTTTTTGTTTTTAGGTCAAAATGATAGAGGATGGAGGGATTAATAATCCATGTTAAAAGAAAGATGGTACAGTATGCATGTTACCTATTCACCTTGAGGAGAAAGTAAAACATTTCTTGTATTCTCCATTTAATAAATTAAGGCGAGAAAAAATGCAATGACTATTTTAGTTATTGATTTCATGTGAGGTTAATTAATCATATTTAACCATATTTGTTTTACTGAAAACAAACACCAAATCACTATTCATCTAAGAGGTTTGTTTCATTCACCATATAAGTGAACATACAGTATTTTTGAATTGATGCATGGCAGCCATTTTGTCAGTTACTCATAGCCTGGAAGTATTTAATTCCATTCCTCTGCACTGTGTTGGACCCTGTAAACGTCTGGAAGGCTAAAGTGGAATTGACTCAAGGCAGTGTTTGTAAGCACTCATAATCCATGGCAGGTTCAGTGACCACATGCAGCTAGGACCCTTAATACCTCAAATGAAAGAAGGCATCTCCTACAGCATAATGTGCCCAGTTACCAGAGCAGAACTTATTTTGGAATTTCCTGAGGGAATACTGCAAATGTAAGCACTGTGATCTGACTTTACAGAGGTGTCCAAAGCAGTTAAAAGCCCCAGGCACATGTAGGCATATGATACTGCTGCCAGTTGTGGAAACCACTGTACAATCTTTGTACAATCTTCTTTTGAAAAGCATTTCCAATTTAAAGAGTGGAGGTAGAGAGGGAGAGCTGATCTAGTTTCAAATCATTACCTCCTCACAAAGAGACTTGGATCTTCCATGGCTTCATCACAAGAGTGATTTATCTGCAGTTAATTTCTAGAATGTTATTAATAAAATGAAAAGTACATTTATGTGATATATATTATGGTAAAAGAAGCCAATATTTTATAATTGTTTTGGGCCTTTTGGCTTTTCCTGACCATTGGATTAAAGCATTCTTACGGTCCTCAATCATATCCTGAGATATGACAATATTGCTTCATCAATCAATATCAGTTTAAGTACCAAGAATAAGAGCAAGCGTGAAATGTTAAAATAATCCAAAGAAAATCTCCAATCTATCAGCAAACTGTGTTAAGTCTTACACTGGTTCCCAATCATTCTGTGAAGATGGAGATTTCAGTGTCATAGCTGATGGTGCTGAAATAAAATACTGAAAAATTGATTCATGCTTTTTCACACTCAATCAAAATGAGACTACTTCATTACTACTACTTTACTTACTGGGGTACTGTATAAAGTAAAGTGATAAATAAGCTTCAGTATGTCCAGAGTTTTGTAGCTCTAATGCTATTGAAAACTGCTCTGTCTCAATGTGCACTCTAACTCTAGCTCTCTGAAAATCTGGCTCCCTGTAAGATTCAAATCAGATCTTGAGGTTTTCCTGCTTACTCAGCGCTGCTAGGCACATGCTAGGCACTGAATCATCTAGCTCCAAATCAGATTTGGATTTTATTGCATGGGCAGCACTTAATCTCAGATATGAGGATTCAGGTCTCCCTGTTCCACCCAAGACCAAGCTTCACACAAAGCTTTCCACTGTACTACTCCACAATCACTGTACTCATTGTCCAAATCCACTAGTGATTCTGCCACTGTGGACATTTTTAGTCAATACCTTTATTTTATCTGTGTTTACACTTAAGAATTTTATTTTCTTTTACTTCTCTTTGGTTTTATCTGTGTTTTATAGTGCAGCCCTTTCAGTTTTTGTTTTTAAGTTCTATATAGTTTTAAGTGATAACAAGTGTTATATATTTATAGAAGTGTTTACATATTCAAATAAAATGTACTGTTACTACCCCCATTACTATATGAGATACTGTATATACGGAGTACAGTCACAAAAGAGAACTCAAGGGATAAACAAAATGTCAGAGGAACAAGTAATTAAACGCTTATACCTAAATGTCAGGAGTATTTGGAACCAAATGCAAGTGACAGACGCTACTGCACTAGCATGCAATTATGATTTAATTGGAATTACTGAAACATGCCTAACGGAGAGTGATGGTGATGAATACAACATTAGTGGATACACAGGTCTCTGGAGAGACAGAAAAAGTGGAAGAGGTGGAGGTGTAGTACTGTACTTAAAAAAAACTGTTTTCAGATACATAACCTACAGTAGATGAATCAAAGGACTTACTCTTTATGAGTCAGCATAAAAAAAAATATTTGACAAGCATAGTGTTGGGAGATTGCTAGGGAAACACTTCATAAATGATTAAAGGGTGTAGGATTCAGTTAAATAGAGAACAATACATTTCATTAACAGATAAAAAGAGACGTACAATAAAAACATTGCATTCGAAGGTAAAAGGATGAGGTCAACTTATCTCATGGGTACTCAAGAAAACCATTAGATGTTTAGATTTACATAGTGAAGGGGAAATGGCTAATAACTTAATATTTCATTGTGTTGTTTATCGAGAAAGAAACGTCAGTAAATACAGTAGAGTGACTGCTGTCACCATGAGCGTTGGGTCCTGCCTCCGGCTCTCTCTAAAGGACAGAGCAAGACTCCCTGACAACACAGACAGAGGGTCTGTAACCTCCACAATATGGACGATATGGTAATATGGTAAGCTCCAAAATATGGTTAACAATAAAAAACAAGACAATGTGTTGCATCAGAGACAACAGACAAAGTAACAATAACAGTACAAAAGAAACACAGGTGAGTATTTAATATACAGTACTAGTCAAAAGTTTGAGTACACCTCCTCGAAACCAGGATTTTTCATGATTATCTGCACTTTAACTGTATAAACTTGTCTACAAACGCTTAATATTTAATTACATGATATTTGTACTTATTATCTTAAGTGAACTACATTGAAAATTTTCATTTTTTATTTTCAATAAAATGAACACCCAAATAAACTGATTTCAGTCTGAAGCCCAGGTTAGTTAAAAAGTCAGAAATGTGTATAACATGGTGTTAGAACACTAAAAGAAGTTTCAAATTGTCTTTGTTAGATGTTCTCACAGTTAACTAGCACATTACCTCATTTACCTTTTGTCACCAATTACTGGTAAACAGGTGAGGTCCACGATCACTATAAATATAGGGAGCATGGGCAAAGGTTTGTCATTCCTGAATGAACGTGGCAAAATTTGCTCAGTAAGCAAGGAAAAAAGACAGTCTATAATTACTTTAAGAAATGAAGGTCAATATTCAAGAGAAAATTACAAGAACTTTGCAAGTGTCAGTAACTGCTGTGGCCAAGACTATCAAACGATACGAAGAAACTGGCACTTATGAGGACAAAAAAGGTCAGGCAGGCCAAAGGTGACCTCAGAATCAGAGAATACATTCATTAGAGTCATAAGTCTCTGAAACCAGCGACTAACTGCCCCTGAAATACAAGTTGAGCTCAATGCAACTAGAAGTACAGTACAAATGTTTCAACATCAACTGTTCAGAGGAAGTTGCGTGAAGCTGGCCTCAAAGGTTCAGTTTCTATGTTTCTTGGCCCAGGCATGTCTCATCCTCTTATTCTGCACTCTTAACAATGGTTTCTTTGCAACAATTCTTCCTGGTAGGCCAGGTTCACTGGAATCCGCTTGCTTTGGGTGTTCATTTTATTGAAAATGAAAAATTAACATTTTCAACACAGTTCACTTAAGATTATAAGTACACATATCATGTAATTAAATATTTAACATTTATAGACAGGTTTCTACAGTTTAAAGCACAGATAATCATGAAAAACCTGGTTTCAAGGAGGTCTACTCAAACTTTTGACTGGTACTGTATTTTTGGGTTTGTGATGTTACTGCACAGAATATGATAAGGCTGCTGCAAATAAAAAAAAATGATTCCTAAATACTGTATGTAGTGCATATCCTCCACAATGTGCGTCAGTGCTTTAAATGGGCTGCAAAAAAACGCGCACATGAGGGTGCACAGTTCCCCACCCAGCATGGCGACTCCTGGATGGTAATTGTATAGGCCCAAAGGGTCAGGGTAAGGGTAACTCAGGGTGTTCCAGGGTCAGGGATGGCATTGAGGGTGGAGAGAGATCTAGCATGTGTCCAGTTGTAAACCAAAGATTCAGAATTCTGAGAGCTATCATCTGAATGCTCTTCTCAAGCATTGCATTGTAAAGGAAAACTAGCACTGGGTGGATGAAGTAAGAGAAGATGGCAGAACAGTTACAGTACATAATTATATGTCTTGAATCATTATAATACAAATGCAACCCAACCCCAACAATGGTTGAAGGAAGTGAAAGGTACTCATCTTACATCTTACTCATCAAACAGACAATACCCAGATGTGTTCAAGTGTTTTCAGACTAGAAGATTGGTACTGTACATACTGTACGTGAAGAAAAATTGAGAAACTGGGTACAGTATGAAACCATATTGGCTAGAACACATTCTCGGACATCAGCCACACTGAGAACTTGACAGGTGACATGGGAAGAAAGCTGCTGTCATAGAAACATAAAATGTAATAACCCAAGAATATGTGAGCAGCATGGAAAGGAATAGTGATGCTTTCGGTCACAATAATATTTGGTATTTTCAATGCTGGTGTTTTATGAAAATGTTACTGTTTCCTCTTCATTTGTGTCTTTTATTGCATATTTTATTTCAGGAATGGTAAGCATATAAACTGTATACTGAATAATATACTTTGTATATACTGTATCTTCTTGGTTGTACCTTCCTTCATCTGTCTGCAGCATCAGTGTCCTGGGAAGTAAACAAAATAAATAGAAACAAGCATTCTGGAAATCGGCGCACAATACTCTGTATTTACTGTGAATGGTGGCACCTACCTTGCTCCAGCTGTGTGGTAGGTTTGTTGCAGAAAACCTGAAGCATGTGGTTAGCAACAGTGACATGTGAAAGGAACATTTAGATCCCTTGAAGACTGTTCTGCAGATAACTGGTACAGTTGGATTGATGCTTGTCATACTGTACTGTATGTTGTTTTACAGCAAACTTTAGATGTAGAGGGTTGACTCTTATTCTAACCAAGTTTGAATAAAGGCTGGAGGAACAGTACAATATATATTTATAGAGGACTGATATTTGGAACAGTACATGGTGTTGAAGAATGCCAAAGTGTTTCCATTCTTATACTTCTATTCTAAACAGATCAGATTACATACAGTGCAAAGACAACCTACCTGCTTATGGATTAATTGAAAATCAGCTGTCTATAAAGAAATTAAAAGATTTCTCGCAAGGCATAGATGAGACACCAGATTGTACAGAAATATCAGAACTTGGGAAGGTCAACATTTTCAGTGTTGAAGAATACAATTAGACACGTACGATTTTCTTTAGTTGGTATTATACCTTCTTCTCACATCAAGCTCCCCCACAAGGAATGACAAACCAAATTAACATTAAGAGATACTACTTAATTCATTCAGCTATCTTTAAATAATTTGCAGTTATCTTTAAAACATTTAGAAATATCAAGAGATAATTTTGGTATGTAGAAATCTCTCTAAACGATAATTTAGTTTCCTGCTCAGAAAAGCTAAGAAATTGCTAGCTATGCATCTTTAATATTGTCCATCTCCTCACCACCACTAAGAGCACTAGGTACAGTAATTGCTGGTCATGACTGTGTAATTACAGTATATGAGATTTTATCTGTGGCAGTAGAGCAAACAGTCAAATAGCGATATGTTAACAGTCAAAAGGTGCCACGTTGGTAACCAAAGACAAGTACTCTAATTTCATTTGAGATGAATAATGTGATGCTTAAAACAAGGCCAATTTAGTCTTATGTGATCTCATTTTTATATTTTGAACTTTACGTTTTGTATACGCAAGTAGATTTTAACAGATGCAACGTTACCTTCTTCTTTACCTACTGTAACTATGATACAGTATATAGCAATTTTAAAGTGCTGAGTTTTTGTTAAAGAATCTGCTCTGGTCTGTTTTTGCACATGGTAAGTGTTTGTTATTCAATATTAACACATACTGTAATTTACATCAATAAAAAATGTAAGGACAAAATATGAGAATATATAATTAAAACTATAGAAGGTAAATTAAGGGATGTTATTTTTAAAATGATAAAATGCATTTTACGACATTTATAGTAGAATATTGAGCACAATTGAGCTCACTACCTTACAACTGCTTGGGATTAGTCCAGAGAAGAGCATCTAGTTACACTACATTATTATCTTAAAGGAATGTCTTACACTTACAGGCTGAAGGAAACTAAACCTTTTACTATGAGGAGACCTGATCTAAATATTAAAAATCATCATAGCCATTGACAACATCAGTGCAGTAGACTTCTTCTTATTGAACATATTGAAAATAATAATAATAATAATAATAATTGCTTATACTTATATAGCGCTTTTCTGGACACTCCACTCAAAGCGCTTTACAGGTAATGGGGTCTCCCCTCCACCACCACCAATGTGCAGCCCCACCTGGATGATGCGACGGCAGCCATAGTGCGCAAGAACGCTCACCACACATCAGCCATCAGTGGGGAGGTGAGCAAAGTAATGAAGCCAATTCGTGGATGGGGATTATTAGGAGGCCATGATTGGTAAGGGCCAATGGGAAATTTGGCCAGGACGCCAAATACTCAACGTATCACATTCAATAGCAGCGTTATGAAAATAATACACCAAAATATCATAGCACAGTCTAAATCGAAAAAATATTTTTTTTTCTGCGTACAGAAACAACTCTCTCCCATAATTGCACTTTGGGTTAAACATGTGAAGTGTATTCTTATAATATTCACAAGAGGGCACTCTTTCCTTTTCCTAAAAGAGTCATGTTATAATGCTTCGACAGGATATATGACTATATATTTTTATTGCATATTAAAATAGGAATCTACATATGACTGAAGTGTGCACATACTGTAAGTGTTAATAAAGTATATTATTCGAACGCCGTGAAATTAAAAAAAAAACTAAACAAACAAAAACATTAGGAAACCGTAACGTATTAATTAATTCGTATTAATTTCGAAAATCATTTCCAAATGTAAAAAGATTCTGGGCACCTGATTAGGATCAACATTTTATATACCTGTTTTCTCTATACTTTTATTCAAATAATCCTTGCTGAACAGACAATTTTATCCAGAGCGATGTACGGTATTATACAAATACAGGGAGAAAAGGGGTGTTATCTCACGCAATTTGATTTCTTAACCATAGAATTTGTCACTGTATAAGCTGTAGGGGTCTCGACCATATACAGTATTTCCCTTTCCTGGGCATACAGTAGATAACAATTTACAATGAGAATGGTAAGGTTGTGAGTAGCCCTGTCGCTTCACAGCTGCAGGGTCCAGGGTTCGAATCCGGCTATGCCAGTACAGAATTTACAGATCAAGTGTTCGCGCTTCCCACAGTCAAAATACATGCTGTACAGGATACACAATTACCGTCTGCAGTCCCACAACCGATCTGGGCAGCGCCTTAGATTCTCTAAGGAAATAAATGCAACACAGGTTTTGAGATCCTGTGCCTCCTAGTTTTTGTTCCAAGCGAGTTCTTCATTATAGTATAATTTCTATCTGCTACTCGTTTTCAATTTTGCTTTCAGGTCTTACATATAGTACTTGAATGGGGGTGGAACTGGTATGCAATCTGTACCTATTTCTGATATTCAGAATGATCCTCATTCAGGTGAGACCTTTCAGGTGACCATTAAGACCTGCATAAAAAATCATTGTGGAAAAGATGAATACGTTGTCATTTCCACCCGCGACAGTTCATCATAAATTGGTCGTCTTTCAAGAGCTGCTTAGAAGGACGTAAGGGAGCAAAATCTTAATTATGAAGTTGAGGAGAAACCGGGTGCAGTTTTACAATACACATGAAGTGGAGTGTTTTTTAATCCAGGGTTTATGTACAGGTAAAAAAAAGTATGAATAATCAACCAGATTAATTAAAGGCATCAATTAGCACCAGGGATTACGAGCTACTGTATGCTATCATGAAACGAAGCAGTCTATAGGGTCGGGAGGCACTGCTCTGAAGCAGTGGTGCATCGAGCCAGTCGCTGTGGACCCGCAGTGTCTGCAGGTTTTCGTCTCATCTCCGGTCCGAAAGTCCTGCTTGAACTGATCATTATCTAAATTAGATCAGTTTAACGCTTTTCGAAGATGTTCGGTTGTTGGTCGTTTAAAAGAGATATAACCTATAACATCCCCTGAGGTCTGGCCATTGAAGACTTGGAGCAATACACTTCCCCTCCAAGCAAAAAGCGCTTGCTGAGACAATGGATAGATGGATTTAGGATTTTCAGAGATGAATTTCCCCTTGTATAGGGAGGTGTTTGATTCTGAAACAAGTCGAAATAATGTCAGAATTAAAAATAAAGAGCACTCAGTTTCCACTGTGATGATGTGGTATAACTTTCTCACTTTTTCCTCATATAAAAACTGTAAATACAGTATATGACTTTTTTCCGTTTATTGACACGCTCCTTAATGTAAACTATTCTAAGAATTCTTGTCTTTGCAGTTATTGAGTGTGTGTATATATATACACACCTAGCGTGTATTTTGTTTCGTTCAGTTTATAATACTGTAGCGATATTCGCATTCATCTATGAATTATACCATACACGTGAGTATTCCAAGTTGATAGTGAAAAGGTGTTTCTGCTACTACTAGTACGTTCATCTTTATCTACGGCTATACTTAAGTTGTACCAGCTTTATTATTTTATTGGTGTTTTTGGACGGTCTTAGAACATGCAGGCGTTTATGTTTACCGGGAAATAATTTACTTTCCTCTGTCCATCAAAAAATCACAAAGAACACCGGTTTCTCTCGCACTTGCAAGCAGTTGTACAACGGAAAAGCAAGCAGCCGCCTCTGCAACACTTCTTGACTGACACCAATATTATCCAATGTACTAAGACACAATTGTGTCTAGTATCCAATCAGTGTGAAGAGGGGTGGAGCATTCTCGGAATAGCCATCTAAATGACGTCATGGATGAACAGCTGGTCTGTTGCAATAACTGAAAATGTGGAAAAGCATAGTGATATAAAATCGTATTCGTGGTTTTTGGAAGTAAACATTTAGTGTGCCATGATGTGGAAGCTGGGTGATCCTGGTTTGGATTTGGGCTGCCTACAGCTCCTGTTGCTTGTTTACATCTATCTCTGCTCGCTCGGAGGTGAGTCATTAACTGGTGTTAGAATGAGATTTCTATCTAGTGTTGATGCAGTGGAGCTGTCCTTTGTGGCGGTACTGAAATACTTCAGAGAATTGCACAGTGATAGGGGATATCCTTCTCAGACATCTGTACGGTCACAAACTAAGAGTACTGGAACAGGCTGTACCTCTTCTCCGCAAAGAAATCTCTGTACAATGACGTTTTCTATTGTCTTCCATAAATGTCACTTATGCATATATTTATGTAAAATAACGTTAAATTAAGAATTTTAATTAGTAACGTACAGTACTTGGAATTGAACGATTAGTAATCATACATATTGCAATTCTAGAAACAAAATATTAAGGAGTAGCTGCCCTCAACACTTTTAAAACGACTTTTGATTGAGGGACGCAGTTCGGTTGTAAATACGGTGTTTACTGCTATAGGTAGCGGTAAGGTTTGCTTGTTTTCTTATTGCTATGTATACTCTCTTTCTCATTGTAAGATCTTAGACGTCATGCAACAGTTTTTATGTCACTGGTGTCGATAACGAGTTTAAAAGTAAAGATGAGAAAACATTTGATAACAAATTTCTTTCCGTTACAGAAAATAATAATCATTATTAACGTTTTCTCCATTCAGTACTCTTCAGTACTATTCCAACTTTTTCATTCTGAAAAGCAGATGATTATAGCGGAAACGTAACCGTTTTATACTGCAGTTTCGTACTTCATATTTGTACGGGTATCTTTTAAAATGTTTTAGAAATCAATTTCTACCTACAGTAATATTTGTCTCATCGTACCACTTGCTGCAAAAAAGAACTTGAACTCCGACTAAAGTAAGTTTTTTTTTAACTGAACCAAGATAAGTACATTAGTTATAGTTTTATCTTCTTGTGAGCGTTATTCAAGGGTGAAATCCACAGAAAACCTGCTGGAGATGTAAGTGAATGAGAGACAAAAGGAGCAGCTGCGCAGAGGTTACTTTGGCAGCATTCTACGGGAAGCCTGATGGATGACTTGTGGTGCAGACTTTAGATCATAGGTGGCAGGCAGACTTGTGAACAGTGGGGAAAATTATAGAAAAGCCATTTCTGTCGCTCAGAAACAAAAATGGTCGCCAAGCTCCCTCTCTTTATTTTGCTTCTTTCTCCACTTATTCGAGGTAGCAAAACTGTTTTAGTCCAATTGTACTGTAAATACTCAGATTACTGCAGCTATGACAGCAAGTAGGAATAATAGCTGTGATTTTAAATGTTTAAAAGTTCACTTAAATTCAAGTTTTGCCAATGTTTAGATTAACTACACAGCAATGACAATAGAGATGTCCGAAGACTGAAATGACAAATTCTACATGTTGTGGGTACATGTTGAAGAAGAAATGTTGACTTTGAAGGATTGAGCTCACTTTGTAGCAATCACCATAACAAAAGAGTTGAAAATGTATTTTTTGAACTGATGAGCAATGGTGCTCATAGATATTGACACTGCTTGTTCCAGCCCACAACCCTTTTGATTAAAGGTTTAGTTACAAAGCCGTAAAAGCAAGGCAATTAGTCTCTGACTCAGAGAATGTCTGAGCCAAAACCTATATTGCTGTGCATTACTGTATCAAGCTCAAAAAGCAATGATAACAAAATCGTATTATATTAATCTTGTCTCTTGAAGAATTAAAAAAAAACTTTTATAATTCTGTGATAAAAAGCATAACAGTGATCGCCCATACAACACAGAGACTATTACAACCTAATAATTGATTATTTAATATATTTTCTAATCTATCAGTGATTGTGCTTAAGAATGGGTATATGTATCTTTTACATGCCTGTCAATGCCTGTAAAAAATAGGATGATATTAAGTGTATTTGAGATGTGTTTCATAATATAGAACCCCAAATTTAAAACAGCTTGTCTATTTGAGTCCTAGTACCCTGTAATAATCAGGGTAAAGATCTATTACTGTTCTTTGTTCCAGGTATGTGGATGTTATTTTTAATATGTTTTTAATGTGAGTCACCCTTTTTATTAAGATAGGATTTTTTATCTTAATATAAAAATCATATCTTATCTGTTTGTGGCAGTATGAGCCTCTTGTTTCTAGCACTTTTGTTTAACATAAATCCATTTTCAATTGACTTATCCTGGTAAATAATGGTTTACTGACACAGTTATACAGATGTAGGGGATGTGGTTGTTTTAGATACTTGTTCCTGAGATCTGTTTGGTGAAGAGGGCTACGTTATTGAACAGAACAGTAGGACATACAGTATGTGCTGGAGTTGACTGGTGGTTTGGACAAATGTACCCACATGAGCCTGTCATTTGTGGGATGCCGCTGTAATTTGCTCAGGCTAATTTTAAGTTATATCATTGGCTGCCTTCAAACTGCCAATACAGCAAGTGATGTTCAGAGTACAAATAAATAGTATTGGGTGTGACGTGCTAACAAGAACAGTGCAAACACTGTGTTCACCAGAGTAAAAGATGAGGAATATGCTCAACAATTGTCTATTAAAGTAGGAATAAAAACCTTTATACAGTAGGTGAAAAAACAAAAAAAGTGGTGAGCCAGCCACCCTTCATAAGAAGGAGCATATTGATAAATTGTTCCCATTGATAATTTATTGATGGAAGCAGCTGATGTGGAAATCCAATGATTCTTTACTAAAGAGTGGCCAGCAGAGGCTGACTGACAAAAAACAATTACTGAAAAGGGGGCTCAGAATTAAGTCAGTATTGCATTCTTTTTGTTACATTGACTATAGTACAGACTGTGCAGTGTCTCCATTTCTCAGTCCAAATGCTGCACTGTAAAACAAAACACCTCCCTTTACGCCTTCTTTCCTTTTTTTCAGCCACTTGTGAATTATATGAATTACAATTAAAGCAATAGCATTTTATTAGCAAGTATAATTGATTTTGCACCTTTCAAATGGACCATGGCTTTGTTGAGCTGGTTGACATTTTATTATGTCAACCAATCAGGAAATGAAGTTTAAACTTTGTCCTCAATGAAATGACATGCCAGGTAGTCTTGAATATAAAATCCCTAAACATCTGTGGTTGCTTTTCATTGTCAGTCATTTTATATTTAGGCTTACTTGTACATTGCTATATAACTATATTTCACTTTTCTTTTGTTCAAGAGATGCAAGGTGAAAGCCATTTTACACAAAGCTTTCTAGATAATTGGCAAAAACTTGTAAAATCCAATTTAGTGAAGAAGTAATCACCATTAAGCCTCCACGTGTCATGCAAGTGGTTAATTTAAATATAACCTTTTGAAAAGATAATAGAAAGACACCAAAAGACTAATTATCTTTCCCCTTTAGTGGTCTAGGTTGGATGCAAATTGTGCCTCAACTCTGTGTGGTTCAATCCAAAATAACAATCCTTCCAATTGATAGCAGTTCACTGTGGAGCCAAGAGCGACTGTGATTCTGCTGAAAAGTCAGTTTGTCTCTTTCTAAACAAAAGGAATTTTACTGCGATACGTGGGATGTTCTTAACTGGGCCAGTGGTAACCTTGTAATCCATTATGTTTGTACAGATAGCCTTTGCTATAGAAAGATCTCCAGGCTGAAACCTCCAATCAGTCAGGTGTTATGTTTACAGATTAACTGCAAATGTTAAATGAGATATAATAACGAATATAATAATTGTGGAGATACATTTTCTTGAAGAGACATAGTCCTATAGTTCAAACAGAACATTGTGGAAAAGGAACCGGAATGACTGAAGGCAGACATGGCTAGTCACTGTTTTCTTCCTCAAATTTGTCAGAGCTCCTACTAGAGAGAGTGCCTGTATTACACAGTATAGGCATTTCAAACAACCAAGAAACAATAAGAAAAACAGGTTGAGTCTGAAACATAAGAACATTACATAATACAGGTCACAGATAAGAAGAGGCCATTTGGCTCAACTTACAGTACCTCTCTGGCAGTTATTAGTTTCTTGATCTGTGGATCTCATTCAGCAGTTTCTTGAAGGCCAGTGTTTTAGCTTCAACAATGTTGTGGTAACTTGTTAAAAAATTACACAAAAAATTACACAGTTTTGAAGAGAAGTACAATGGGATACATTTGAAATAATCAGTGTTGAATTGATATATAAGAACTAAAGTACTGTATGTAAGAACACTTTAGATGTATCCCATAAGTAAATCAAAGGCATCCCATAAGTAAATCAAAGGCAGGAGAGCAGTATTCCATATTATTTAATAAATCAATGAAGAAAATTATGAGGACAAAGAAAGTACTATATAAAATAATTTAAAACAAACAGAATCCAGTAAAAGAAAAGGAATGAATTAATGGAATAGCCTTTGGCTTGTCACATCCCTAACTGGGAATAAATGGCTTAGTGATAGTGAACAGATAAATAAGCACAGGTAAATATGTCACTATCAGGAGAGAGGTACAAGAGAATATTGCAATACAGGCTTAAATAAATAGTAAAAAAAAGTTTGTGACAGTAAAGGATAAAGTAAAGTGCCTCAGAGATAACAATGGGAGATCACCCAGATGTTACCAATGAATAAATCAACAAAATGCCCCACTGTAGGCAAAGAAAAAGTTGGTATTAACATAGAAGAGACACATGTATTAAAAGTGTAAAAAATACTTAAAACACTTAAAGAGCCAGATGGTATTCTAGGAATTATTCTCAGAGATGTGCTTTTTATATGCTATTAACTTAACTATGTTACACTGCAGAGTAGATTTTAGCAATGGATGGCCCTATGTGGGCAAGGTACTGTATCACAAAACAAGCAACAGGGAAATCCAAGGTCGTGGTCAAAGACTAGCAAAAGGGTCAAGAGCCAAAAATACTAGGAGAAACTTCACAAAAGGAGTCCAAGACAAATTCCAAAAATCACAGCCAGAAGGGTAGCCAAGTCCAAAAGCCAGGAGGAACTCTAGAGACAATATCACAACAGCAGGTCTATGACTCACAAAACCTGAACCAATACTGAACACTGAATAAACAGGAAGCAGGGTTTAAATAGGCTGG